AGTGTGTGGCTCAGTGCTTTAACACTTCGTGCAGTTAACTCGGTCTCAAAACTAATCAGTTTGGATACCAACGATAAACTATACCTAATCAAGGAATATTTGCGGAACAAACAAAATCCTTCAGACGGATGCTTTTATGAGAGTGGAAGAAAAATGCCTTACTCTACCCACGGCGAAAATGGTCGCCTGAGTGGACGCTACGACCACGTTCTGCTCACATCTTACGTTCTTCTCGCTCTACAGGGATCAACCGCGGACTCCCACGATCCACGAAAAGACCTCGTGCATGATGATGATGATGCCATTGAAATGAGACGGCGAGCAATTTTGTGCTTGAAAAGGATATCGTTGACATTCGACGATACGACACTATCCAACTACGCTTGGGCTTTGTTAACCTACTCGATGTCCAGAGACCCGTTAACACCAGTAGAGATCAATTCTATCAACATAAGGCGTCTAACTTTGAATTTGGATTTCATAATCCCTTCCGACGATACCAGCTTGCCCATGGCTTATGTTCATGATAACAGTGATCCAAGTAATCCCAGTCGCATGATCAATTCATTAGCCATGGAAGCAACTGCTTACACTTATATGACCGTTTCCGGTAAAGTATCCTATGAGAAACAATTACATTTGATCAAGTATCTGTTTGCTCACAGTGAATGGGATTTTGAATCCAGATTGACTCATGCATCAAGCACCGTTTTTCAGGCACTGGTGCACTTTGCCAAGCAGAACAGTCAGATCGCGTGGTTTCAACGAGAATATGTGAAGTGTACCAGTCAGATTCATCCTTCGGGTCAAACAATCGTCAACGTTTTGCGCGATTCTGAACAGTTCATTCCAATGCCAAAAAGTCTTATGGTTCCAAGTAGAACAAATATTACATCGATTTCATGGACAGTGGAGAACTTGGTCGCCAACCAATGTGCTCTAGCGAATACAGAATTCGTTTTTGCCTCACGTTTCATGTCAGCATACAACTCGCGTGAAACTTTGCTTCACTTAGAAGTGCATGAAATCGATCGCAAACTGTGCACGTCCCCCAAGTTAAAGATTTGTGTGTGTACCAGTACGGAAAAGAGACCTAATCTCTCCGGAACCCTAGTGTTGGAAATTTGGCCACCATCAAGCTATTCTCTCCCTAACAGGAGTTCGGCATTTTGGCAAATTTATAATCAATCTGCGGAAAATAGAGGAAAACCACGTCACATTCGATTCGGTAGAAGTGGAGAGGTATTGGTATTGTTTGACGGATGGACTGAAGAAGAAATTCACAACCGCGGAAAGCTTGAAGACATCCGTCGATGTGTGTCGATTCGCTTTCGTCAGGTCTATCATGCAGAAAATGCCCAGCCGCTAAAACTAAAAGCTTACGATTTGCATCGGTTGTATCCGGAAGCTAGACGTACTCACCGGCTTCCGAGTTGCCAACGTTGGTACGAAATCGAAGACCGACTCGAACTTCCGGGGGATTACGGCCCGGTGAATCGAATACCTTGTCCTATTTGTTTACACATTGAAGAGGACCCAACGCGACTGGCTAAAGCATTGGAGCATGATGTTTGCGATCATCGTGGGGATCTACTTGTATTTGAAACGGTTAAGGGGAATTTCGGTTTTGGTGAACCCGTGATAATGTACACCACACGCATGAAAAACTCATCAAGTTATTGGCTAACAAAAGTGAAGTTACACAACGAAAATTGTACATGTAAATTGCCAAAAACAACCACAAATGTATTTGTTTTTACTAGTGTCCTGTTCGACTACACAGTTCGTGATTCCCAGTTTGATTTTAAACTATTCGGGTACACGAACTTCATTCATCATATCAGTTGCGGCAATTCTATAAAATCTGTCGAATATTTGATCAATTATTTGTCTAGTAAGAATCGTGAAGTTAAATGTACTCAGGCCCTGCTTGGTCTTCGAATTGTTTTGCACAATATGCACAAACAACTTAACGAATGATCGTATGATTGATTCTGTTTGTACTACTGAGAGTTAACAATAATGACACAAACTTAAACAACAAATGTGATCCTTTTATTTTTTTTCTATACTTATAAAATAAAACGGTTAGTGGATACTGTAAATCAAAACCGATAGAAATTAAGCAATTTGTGCCCGAATCTCGAAGCTCTGTCATCAAGTTCGGTATTATTGGGGCAAAAGCTTGAGCGGCGTTCTTGGGTGGGGTCGAATTCCACCAAGGCTGGTCAACCTTTCACAATTAGAAATAAATAAATGTCTTTTTACTTCCTTTTTATTTATTGAATATACAAATGTACGGTTAACTTTCAAGAAGGGGCTACGGCTATACAAAGGCTGCCTGGGGGAATACAGAAATAAGGAAGACGGGCGGCGGTGGAGTGGTTCGAACTCGGGACTCCTGGGTCCCAATTTAGTGACCTAACCACTTGACCACCATCGTCAACAGAATGTACATAATCCCAAGTTAAATCACAGGTAGGTGAGAGCAGTGGTGTGGGAAAGACGATGATGGTTTGGACCGGTCATCTACTGAGCTCATCTCCATGCACAGCCCTTGAAAAGAAACCACAGGCTTTCGACTTCAAATGAATCCGCGGTAACCTCAAGTGAATCGAACCGCAACTATCAAAACCCCGCCCAGTCTGAGTGAGCAGATTTCCCTATAGACAAACAAAATTATTTTTGAGGGAGTTCCCGAGCAAGGATCAAAGGTTCGGTGGAGTGGGGTTTGACTGTTCATCAGTCCCGCCCCACTCGGGTACGTTGTGGCCTTTACCGTTGATTTTGTGAACTTCAGACGAGAATTAACAAACCCGGTGGTAGTTGGCCTCAGTCGGCCGAATGAGGAAGCGAAACACGTCAAAATGGATCGATAAATCGGTAACCAAGCTCATATGTGAATGTTGGAATGCATAATTGCACAGGTGGGTTCAGTCTAGGCCGTCAGTAGCCTCGCGTCCTCGGCCGACTGAGGATAACTACCACCGGGTTTGTTAATTCTCGTTTGAAGTTCACAAGATCAACGGTCAAGGACATAACGTATCCGGGGGGGGGGGGGGGNNAACAGTCAAACACCATCCCACCTAACCTTTCATTCTCGCTCGGGAACTCACCCAAAAGTACTTTTGTTCGCCTATGGAGAAATAGGTTCACTCCAACGGGAAGAGGTTGCGATAGACGCGGTCCAATCAGTGGCGTGTGACGGCAGAAGAACCAATACCTTTGTTGGGTTCTAGGTAGAATGCAATTGGTTCAATTCACTTAAAGTTTTAACGGATTTATTTGAAGTTGAAAAGGTATAGAGAAGTATATCACAGATGGACTACAAGTCCAAACTTCCAAACGTCCGGTGTGATTGGGGTGGGTTAGATTTTTTCCTATCGGTCGAATCGCCAGTGCTAACCAGGTCAGAGGAAAGAACAAGGCATTGTCATACGAGTTTTATCGATGAATGATGCGAAGTGCGAGTAGAACACAGCGATGACGTGTGGTTTGGGAAGTGAGACAACCGTCTAAGGTCATGACAAACTTAATCTTGAGGAGCCACTGACTAATTGGTCATTAATTAATTAACTTCAACCACTTTCAGTAGGTACCAATGGCCAAGCGCATCTAACTTTCTACTATAGTGTCTTACTTTTCCATTAACTTTCATATGACATTATTGTACAGCTTGTTTTAATACGAACAACAATTGATAAAACAATGCAAACTGTTCGTTACTCTGCGTGTGTTCTCTGAGTGTTGCTGAAGCAATTACGCGTACGTCATCATCTATCGTCATTCGGTCCGTTAACTGTGGCAGCAATCCAGTACAGCTCCACCGCACATCAACAACCGGAATCACGCTTCCGAAGAGCAAAATCTCTCAATCGATCGAACAATCTCCTTGTAGTAACTTTTTATTAACACTACCATCTTCAACAACTGGTAAAAAGTTTCTCGTTCGTGGATTATTGTTGGGTGAGCATTGTTACTAGTAGCAGTAGTGTTATAAGTTGACAAGACACTGCCGGACCGAGAAGAGTTATTCACGAGAATAAAAACATGGATAGGGGTTAAATACGATTACGCAGGCGAAATATGTAATAATGGTCGATTAGTAGATTCATAAAAGTCTCTTGATCGGTGTTTAAACAGTTTGAGAATCTCCTCACCTCTTCCGTAGTTGCAATTATAAATCCTTCAATGCGCTCCCAGATGTCGTGAGAATCCATCGACCTCTGTCCATTCACGCATCAAACATATTAGTCGCAAACTTTAGCAGAACCTCAGTACAAAAATAGTAATAGTAGTAGTAATATAAGCCATAAGCCGCGTGCAGAGTTGAGGAACCGTTTATTGTAAGAGTGTGACTCTTTGATAAATTGACTTACACGGAACGAAACAGGTAATATATGATAGGTTAGTTACGCTCTTGTGAGGGATTCCGGACTGATTACAACAGTTTATTTTTGCGTACTGCAGATATACACGGAATTCAATCTTCTGTTTCTACTACATAAAGCGAGTAGTAACTAACCACAATAGTGTTAGTGTTTTTATCGTTGTAGTGACACGGAGGATGAGTTTCACTGCGACCTCGACGCGGTCCGAAATCGGTCGGTCGATGAATCACATAAAAATTATAATTTTCCCCATCAGTATAAAAACACAATAGATATCAAGTAAATGCTATTAACTGCATGTGTTACGTTCCCGGATCGCCCAGGTCGAGAGGAAGAACAAAGAGCGTCTGATCGTCAGATCCGTGTATGTTCGAATGAATGCGTCAAGCACTAAACCACTTGACAAGAGGGGCAACCATGACATCGTAAAAGGTCAAGGTCAATGACACTCTGTTCACCTGCTGACCATTGTCACCCCTAACAGCATGCTTTGCGCAAAGCGAAAACAGAAAGGTAGCAGAAAAACACCACAAAACTCTTGATTTCTCTTCTTACAAGTATAGTGACGATAGTTGCACGAAAAAAGGAGAAATCTATGATGGCAATTTCTGTTCATGTTTTCTTCACAATCAACCTTGACTCTAACTGTGACACTACTCCCTGTTTAAATTTACTGCTTTTGTTTTACTGAACACGAATTTCTTCTCAGAGGTTTCCTGCCAGAAAAAAGTCCAGTAGAAATCTTTTAAAGATCTCAGAAACCACAAAATAAGGCTTCTAGCATATGCCACTAAAAAACCTAATTCAACAGTGGTCGGTTTACTTTCATACTCCTGAAAGGATGGAATCCGTCTTAACCTGGATATTGCAGAGGTCATAACATTACGCCATATTTTGGTTGCACATAATTATGCATAATTGAACCTTCTAACGCAACGCCGTTAGTTGTATTTAGGGTTATACAATACAACAACAATACGTACAATACAATACAATGCAACAACTACGAGTGTTTTCGCATGAGAGAGTACAGGAGAACTGGATTCAATTTCATGGGGGAAATTTGCTGTGTATGGAGCAAATGAAGCGTGAACTGAAATGTTACAATTGTTTTGATTTGATTGGGTCTCATCAGCAGTGCAGATCCATCAACCCAACTTGGGATCGAATGGTTTTTTATACCATTGGCAACGGGACACTAGGAGGTCGCGTGCATTACGAGATTCACTCATTTTGATACAGTGTTCTGATCCGACCAAATGTGTCTTGAAAGCTGTGCCCCCGATTCTTGTCAATCCGCGACTAAGTCAGCTGGGTAGGTGTTCTCAAATGTGTTCTGCCGAACGGCTGGTAGTAAGACCAATGTACGTGGTTTCTCAGGAATACACAAATCGGTAAATGCAGAGTGAGGTAATTTCCGCTGGTAGTCCGTCTTTAATCTGCAATGAGAGAACTGGTTCTGAAGTGTAAGTTGTGCGTAGGTCAGCGGCATAATATGTTTCCGATTGCAGCCTTCAGACACCTACTTATCATTTCAGCTAGTGTGTCACCTTTGAAGGGAATGGACAAATAAACTGGTTTCGTTTTGTACCATCATCTCTGGTTGCACTTTGTTTTGACCTTCATACATTGTTGAATGATCCTATCTGGATATTCATTTTCCATGAAAATCGTTCTGATTTTTCTCAGTCCTTCCTCACATGAGTCAGGCGAACATATCCTCCTTGTCTTATTCACTCCATTCATCATGCATCGTATCAATGCCTTCTTCCGTTTTAGAGGCACAAAACTGTGATAATTTGTGTACCGTCCTGTCCAAGTCTGCTACGTCAGAGAGAACCCTTTTGATAACGCGCGAGAAAGACATTGAGGAACGCCAACCCTTCAGACGATTCCATTTCTAGCGTGATTCCCATATTCGCATGGGCTTTGTTAAACTGGTTTAAAAGAACAGTGGGACTGATGAGGGAATCAGCTACGCAGATGTCATCTACATAGTCCCGATATAAGACACACTCTCTTGTGACAATCTAGTAGTCCACTTTCCAGTTTCGCTATAAATACATCGATCAAAAGAGGAGCTAAGGGAGATCCCATATTTCTGGTGGTAAGCCTCCCCATTGAACTGGAATTGCACATCATAAGTGCATAGGCAAATTAAATTGCGAAGGTCTGTAGTGACTATGATTGTACGAAGAAAAGGAGCAATCCACGAGAACGTTTTTAGTTCATATTTTCTTCACAATCACCCCTGACTCCAACTGGGATATTTCTTTGTGTTTTACTTCACTGCTTGTTTTACCGAGCACTAAGGTGTATATATAAGCTGTGTCCTGTCCAAACTCACGCAACAAGTGTGACACGCTTTCGCTTTGCTATTGCATTTATTTACTTGCATTGTTTATTCGTCACATCGGCACGTATTCGGTACTTTTTCTGGTATCACGATACGCCAATAAACGTCTACGACCACCACGAGTGTTTTTGTCTACCCAGGGCAACGAGACACTATGAGGACGAGCGCGCTATTCGAGATCTGTAAGAAGACTTATCGGCAGGCCGTAATCGTCGATCAAGAATTCCTAAGAT